ATTTTTTTCTTTACTCATTTAAGAAACAATAAAAGGGCAGAGAAGAAGGCTGCAACAGAGTTCTAGTGGAGAAACATACTAGATATATCCTAGAAAGATTTTAACTTTGCCCGTGGTAAAGCTAGGACTTGCAGGGTTGGCACACCCCAGCCTCTTCCATCCTGGGGCTCTGTAACACAAGGGTGTGTGTCCTAAGTAATGGAGGTGGCCCGGGTCTAAATAGATCTAGCTTCTTCCCAGAAGCTTGGTGGACTGAGAAACATGGCATAGTTTGCTTTCTCTAGTTCATAGTGAAAATATACTGCCTTATGATTTCACAGTGCTTCCATTTTCAGGGTGCTTCCATATCTAACAGCTCTGTGAAGCTACCACACAGGCATGTCACCCTCATTTTTCAGCTGAGAAGGAGAAGGTTGTAGCTTATCTTTATGACTAGTATTTAGTAGCAGTGATCATTTAACATTATCATTGTTTTGTTTTGGTTTGTTTATTTGGCTAGAATTGAGTCCATTCAGTATACCTTGAGTTTTCTATAGCTTTTCTAGAGCTTGTCCTTGACCTCCAGCAGCCCTAATGAGCTTTTCCAGGTGACAAAATTGAAAGCCAAGGTATGGGCTGTTTTAACTTTGTACATTTGTGACAACAAATGTGTCATCTCACTTGGTTACCATATTTTACTAGGATTTTTTCGTCTGTGTGCATCAATGAGAGAGAACTATAATCTTTCTTATTAAACTGTCCATCTAATTTGGGTTCCAAAATTACACTATCTTTATAAAATTAGTTGGGAAGTGTTCTCTCTTTTTCTATTCTAATGGTTTTCTTATAATAGAAATTTTTTTATTCCTCTCCTGGGAAGCCATCTGGGTCTGATGTGTGTGCACGTGATGCTTATGTGCAGATTTCTTTACTGGGGATTTGATTCCTTTTATTTTTTATCTATTCAGATAACCTAATTCATCTTGAGACCATTTTGGTAATTTCTATTTTTCTAGGATATTGTCTATTTAGATTAATTGTTCATTTAGTTTATAGATTCTCGTAAGTTTTTTAATCTCTTCTGTATCAATAGCTATGTCCCATTTTTTTTCATTTCTAAAGTATTTTAATGCTCTTAGTTTCATAAGGTTGTCTCTTTTATTAGTATTTTTTAATGAATCAGCTTGTAGTTTTATTAGCCCTCTCAAGTTCATTAATTTTTGTCTTATATTTGTATCATACTTCCTTTGTTTTACCTCCTTTGGGTTCCTTATTTCCTGACTTGATTGCTTAGCTTTCTTTTTTTCAAGTTTTTTACTAATATATGCATCTACAATTCCATGATGTTTCAGTTTACTAATTAGCACTCCTTGGGTACATTTGTTCAAATTTACTACTGTACCTAAGTATCTTTCCTTCCCACCCATCTCTCTCCATCTGGCCTATGGAGACATCATCAGAGACCTGGCAGCTGCCTTTTCAGAATCCAGGTATACTACCTACTACTATGTCCTTGGCGCATTCATCTCAGTCCTGGCAGAGGGAACACATGGAGGGCGGTCTGAATTTTCCTTAGTCTTCATAATCACTCGCTTACCTTCACAGCATTGACACATTATCCTTTTAGCATTTACCTATACACTAGAGGTACAAATCTACCTTTTTTATTTCTCAGATATCAACAACAATAATTCTGGTTCCCGATGTCATTTATAGACACCTTTCTCTAAGCACAAATGCAGTGGTTCCAACCAGCTCAGGGCTGAGGTTTCTATTCTCCCTTTCCAATAGCTATGCTACCCCATTTAATCTGAAATTTACTCTCCTTGATGGAAAAGACCAAATTAAATGAGATTTTGAGAACTTGTGATGTCTGTATGTCCTTTCCTTTCCTTTTGCTAAAAACTGAGCTAAAACAGCATGTGTTTGGCCTTGAACTGTTTGAGATCTACATTTCATTTTAGTCTTCTTCTGCTGCTCTTCTTACAAGCTGATGACACCTCCTCCTGCTTCCTATTTTTAAAGACATCTCATTGAAGAGCTCATTGAATATCTTTTTAATCACATCTCATTGAAGATCTCCCAGAGATACTAGACTGCTCTTAACCTCTCTACTCTCTGTCTTTTTATCTCTAAAATGGCACAGTTGGACTGGGGGAATCTATAAGAACCCATCCAACCCTAAAAACTGGCCTGTCCTGCAGGAAAGCAGACTGCTTTGTTGAGCCCTGTATGCCTCTGTCTCTGAAGCCCATTGACATTCTTCACATCCCCAGAGGACCTCTGTGCAAGTTGTGAATTCTTTTAAAAACAGGAAAAGAGAAAAGGGCTGAGGAGAAATTTTATTCTAGTAAAACTTATTTTTTTCTCAAAATAGGAAGGAGAATTTGACAGGGAGCCTCTGAGGGGGAGCTTAGGTGCACTGGAAGGAAGCCCCTTGTCGGGACTACAAGTCCTGGAGTCACGTCCTTCTTATCCATTAGCCAGGTGACCTGTGTGAACGCCACTCACCCTCTGAGCCATTGTTTGATCTGTGACTAACCAAAAACTAGGATAAAACTTTTTCCTTTTCACTTTAAAGCGTAGATGTAGGGGTGAAAAATAATTTCCAAACACATGTAAACTATAGAGCACTGTGACTTACACAGGTGTTTTTACTGTAGAGATTTCATTCTTCTTTGACAAAAGAAAAAATGATAACACAAACAAGCTCTGTACTGCTTTATCTTTTGTAATCAAAATAAGAAGTATTCAGTGAGCTGCTTTCTTTCCGTAACTGAATTACACAACTCTGCTGCTTCTCGCCACTCTTGCAACATAGGAAAGCCTTGCTCCAATTCAAAGCACCATTCAGATGAGAGGTGTAATTGTTGTTATTATTCACATTTCAGAGGGTTCTATGTCTATTATCTGTTATCTGCTCACTTTTCAGCTTTCCCAAACATGAACTCAGACACATAGTTCATTTTCATAATAGAGGTTTCCCAAAGAGAATGAAGTGGATGATTGTTTAAAGCAAAAAATTGGTCTTTTTTTTTTTTAAACAATGTATACTCTGACATGAGCCAGTTCTCCCAGAGGCAGCTTGAGACTTGAAAAATCAAGATTACAGAAAGGAACTTTCCCACCATGTTACAGCAAGAAATCAACTAGGTATCCTAGCCACATGAGAATTTGTCCTTGTGTCCAACAGAGTGGGCAAGATACATGTTTTTTTCCCATTGGCCCACAACCTATCTTTGTGTAACATTAATTTAATATACCATCACAGACACAAATCGGACATGTTAGTAAGCTAGCTGACTGTGAGTTGTCCATTCAAATAGAAATGCTAACTTGGTGACTAATTTTCTTATAGCTTCTCATCAGCTTCTCTCTTGAGACCCAAGCTTTTAATTCTTGCTGGACACCTGCCCCTAGACTTCCTACAACATCTCAAACACTTGCATGAAATTGGACTCATCTTTGAACTGTGTTCCCTAGAACCACATTCCCATTAACCCAACCTAGAAACTTGGACCTCCATATTAAGGTCCTCTTTTCTTTCTGTTCTCCTTTCTCCAGTTCTTAACCAGTCCCTCACCTCCTCCAGATTAGACTAAACTATTACAGGAGTCTTTCATTTGTGTTCCTGAACAGATTTCCCTACCTAAAATCCCTGGCTTCTCCAATATATCCTTCATGCTGCTCCAGAATTATCTGACCAAAATACAGGTTGGGCCACATCATTTTTTTTGTAGGCTCCCTATCACTTACAAAGTAAATTCCACACTTATTAGTGTAGGATTTGAGCCCATTCACCATTGGCCTTTGTGTTATTAGTTGGGAAGTATTCATTCAACTAGAGATGATGAAAATACTCACCTAAAAATGACTTAAATAATGAGAAATATTTATTATTTTCTCACCTAAAAAGAAATCCAGAAGTCTCCGGGGTGTTGTCCACCTTTCTGCTTCATCTTCCTGTTCCATCCTGTTCCAGCATATTGGCTTCTGTCCTCAGGCTTGCCCCATCTTGAACTTCACGTTGCTATTGCAGCTCAGAAATCATACCCCACCACACACACATAACCATGCAGAAAAAAATATATTCCTTTATCTGCAGGAAAATCTGCCAGGAGCCCCTAGAAGTTTACCCCTGATATCTCTCTGACCAGGATTGTATCACATGCTTTTGCTATCAGTTATAGCCCAGGAGATAGAATTGGGGTGTTTGGTTTATAAAAATAAGTATTCACATCTTGAAATCAGGGTTCTTGCAGCAGGAAAAAGGGGAAGCAGGTGAGAGAGTTTGGAGTGGCAACTATTAACATCTGCCAGGGTTTATACTCTGCAGTTAATCTCATGCACATACCTCAGGCCCCTGGCCTCTGGGCCATTCACAAAACAGTGTGTTTCAGTTTTCCATGCATTCTCTCTCCCATTACTAGATGCCTGCATGCCTTTTTCTGCCTTTGGAAACACTCTGCTCTTCTCAGCCTGTTCAGTCTGAGCTATTTCTGATAGACCATCAGCATTAATCCTCCACTAGGCATTGTGTTCATAGTGTGTTCCTCATTTATTTCTTTCAGCCCTTGTCAGAGTTGTACATGTGACTTCTATTCCAATAAATTATAAGGGCCCTCATTTTAGTCAGTCTTGTCCTTCCTGTAGCCTTTATCAAAGTACCTTGAATCTAGCAATGAATGTTTGCGGAATTAAGTTGAATGTCAATTAACATTACACTTGTTTGGTTTGCAGGTCTGTGCTGCCAGCATAGTCCCCCAAGATGGTGAACAGAATGGTCTTATGGGGAGAGTAGATGAAGGTGTAGATGAATTTTTCACCAAGAAAGTGACCAAAATGGATTCTAAGTGAGTTCAGAGTCATTACTAATAATACTCGTTAGTTCACATTTAAATTACTAACAGTTACAATTAACTTTGTATACTAAGGCTCATTTATATATTTTTTTTAATAAAATTTACTATTCTGATGGTTTGCAAATTGCGATCTCCAGTCCAGCAACATCACTAATCATCACTATTAACTGAGAACTTGTTAGAAAGGCAAATTCTCAAGCCTCTACCCCAGACCTACTGAATCAAAAACTCTGAAGGTGGCATGGCAACTATTAACATCTGCCAGGGTTTATACTCTGCAGTTAATCTCATGCACATACCTCAGACCCCTGGCCTCTGGGCCATTCACAAAACAGTGTGTTTCAGTTTTCCATGCATTCTCTCTCCCATTACTAGATGCCTGCATGCCTTTTTCTGCCTTTGGAAACACTCTGCTCTTCTCAGCCTGTTCAGTCTGAGCTATTTCTGATAGACCATCAGCATTAATCCTCCACTAGGCATTGTGTTCATAGTGTGTTCCTCATTTATTTCTTTCAGCCCTTGTCAGAGTTGTACATGTGACTTCTATTCCAATAAATTATAAGGGCCCTCATTTTAGTCAGTCTTGTCCTTCCTGTAGCCTTTATCAAAGTACCTTGAATCTAGCAATGAATGCTTGCGGAATTAAGTTGAATGTCAATTAACATTACACTTGTTTGGTTTGCAGGTCTGTGCTGCCAGCATAGTCCCCCAAGATGGTGAACAGAATGGTCTTATGGGGAGAGTAGATGAAGGTGTAGATGAATTTTTCACCAAGAAAGTGACCAAAATGGATTCTAAGTGAGTTCAGAGTCATTACTAATAATACTCGTTAGTTCACATTTAAATTACTAACAGTTACAATTAACTTTGTATACTAAGGCTCATTTATATATTTTTTTTAATAAAATTTACTATTCTGATGGTTTGCAAATTGCGATCTCCAGTCCAGCAACATCACTAATCATCACTATTAACTGAGAACTTGTTAGAAAGGCAAATTCTCAAGCCTCTACCCCAGACCTACTGAATCAAAAACTCTGAAGGTGGCGCCCCTCATTCTGGGTGACTCTTTTGTTTGTTTGTTTTAATAAGCCCTCCAAGGGATCTGCTGAGCATGCTCAAGTTTGAGAACCATCGTGCTATTTTAAAACAGACCACAAAATGTATCATCCCAAAGTATTTTTTCTAGGGTGTTATCACCGTCACTTGGATGATTCTGTTACAGGGCAGTGAGCTTTGACAGTTGAAATTACTTATATCTAAATTCTCCGTTTTCATAATCTGACATATGTGAGGGCCATATGTCATTGTGAGATGGCACGACCTTAAGAGAGTGTCAAAATGACAATAGAATTAGTGAAGAGGCTTCAGAGTTAGTCTCTAAAAAGTTCTGTCAGCACTTTATTACTATGTGGATTTTTCCTAAAAGCCAATTCAGTGGTACTTTTTATTAACAGTTATATTTAACTTAAAACACTCTGGTTTTTAAGGTGATTTGTACCAAGTTTTTAAATCCCCAACTAAATGCAAATCTATCCCAAAATACACCCTTGGATTTGTATTAGGATTGTATCTGAAGTATTCTTCACCTTGAGATGTCAAATTCAGAAAGGAATGTAAACTGTATGATAAGCCAAGGGTGGGCAAGGCTGATCACAGGTAGAGAAGAAACCAGCCTATTCTGAAGACTGATATGTGTTATCTTGCCTCTGTAGAATGGCAAGGCGGAGTTTTTATATCCATAACAGTCCAACTACTAAATGTTATACGCTTCAAGACCGAGTTATTTGTCTTTGACACTGGTCTTAAAGGTTGGCACACTATACTTGGAAAAATTCTATTTTCCTATCCTTCAAGAACCGACCTAAATGTCATTTATTCTTTGAAGCTTTCCCATGACTGCTTCCCATAGCCCTCCACGTTAATTGTTCTTTCTCTAAAACTGACTCAACACTTTTTTTTTTCAGCCTCCACACACATCTGTGAGGGCACACATCATTCTTGGAGAGTTTGTTTGTTTGTTCTTACAGCTCAGGGAATGAATGAATGGATTCCAATGTTAAAGAGTCAGGCAGCACCAACATAAACAGAGCAAAATGGGAAAGTTCCTCTTAATGGTTTGCTTTCAAGCCTGTTTCCCCCTTAGAAGGGTGTTCTTCAGAAGCAACACCCGGGTCTTGTTTTTTTATTATAACTTCAGTGTCTGACACAGCCTGTGATATGTAGTCTGTCCTCAATCACTAATAGTTGAATGATTCAAGACGATCTTGGCCTGTATCTGTATAAACTACAGATACCATTGTAGGCCCTTTTCTTCTTAAACTTTAGAAATATATATTTAGTTAGTGAAAAGTTCTGTGAGTGTGTCTATTGTGATTTTCTCGACTTTTCATGCTACCTTCTTTAACTGGCTTGGAATGAAAGTTGGGCATACTTTATAAGGTATAAAATTCACTTTCTACAAAGATACTGCTCTAGGAGGATTCAGTTATCTTCTAGTAGAAATAGACAGAACTAGATACATTAATTTTTATCATATAGTGATGGAATCTACTAAAAGTTGTGATTTGTTTAATTTCATTTTGCTATAAAAACAAGTATTGTTGTTAAGAACAAATATTGTCATTTTAATATGCAAAGGGCTAGGCATAGATAAAACCATGAAATAATAACGTAAAGAAGTTTGAAGATCAGTTTTACATGCTCATAATTTAAAACAGTTTCTAATCTTTTAGCTGTTTATTTTTTATTTTGCTTCCATATTTGTTAACAACATTGTTTTGCTATTTTTTTGCTATGATGATAATTTGGTTCTTACACACTCTGGCCCTACCAGCTAACACACGCAGGCAAAACTGTCTGTCTCTCTCTGTCTTTCTGTCTGTCTGTGTCCCTCTCTCTCCCTTTCACGTACGCGTGTGCGCACACACACAAACACACTTTTCCCATCTTCTAACTTAGTTATATCATGATTGTTGGTTCTATCAGTATTGCCTATTGGCTTCATTATATCCATATAAATACCCACAGCTGAGTTATACGTATGCTATGACATTTCCTTTTCTAGACAACTTTGTATTTTCCCTGGAGTTAGTAATTGTCTACTTTTCATTTGCTTGGTTTTCTATATTGTTATCACTGACATACCCCCTAAATCTCCAGTAAAAGGATAAACCTCTCAGTTTTATCATCATGGACCATCCTTCACTGCTGTCTGACTGATTCCACTTTGAACTCTTGGCCCATTTTACTGGTGTCATCCTAGGGTCTCCCTCATTTGCTTGGGGCTTCTTTCCCCTTGTTCCTGTGTCCTTTTCCTATTTCCTTTGGCCCATGTTTTTTTCTTCCTTACTTTACTCCCTTGTTTGGGTAGTGCACCTCCTGGTGTTAGTCTGAGAAAGGAGGCAGAGGAAGTGAGTTTCTGAAACTCATTGTGAATAATAGTGTGACTAGGTATAGAATTATAGATTGAAATCCATTTCACCTTAGAATTTTGAAAACCTGGTCCCTTTATCTTCTAGCGTTACTATAAGAATCTAATGTCACCTTGAGTCCTAATCGTTTGTTTGTAACTTGTTCTGTTTTTCCTCTTCTCCAGAAGCATTTGGGACCTTCACTTTGTTCCAAGAATATTGAAATTTTATGGTGATATGCTCTGGGTGACTCTTTTGTTTGTTTGTTTTAACCCATTTGCTAGGCACTAGTGGGCCATGTCAATCTGGAAATTCACATCCTTTGATTCTGGAATTTTTGAAAATTAAAATTTCTGTCATAATTTATTCGCCTTTTCTCTATTCTTTTTCTTAAAGCTTCACTATTCAAATTATATGTTTCCTCTATTAATCCACTAATGGGTTTTTTTTTTTTTTAATCTTTTCTCTCTTATTTTCTTATTCTCTTTATTACCCTGCTCCCTGCCCCCCACCCCCAACACACACATACATTCTGGGATATTTCTTCAGTTATATCTTCCAACCTTTAGTTTTCCATTTCTGCAATCACATTTTCTACTATTCTTATTTCATGATTCCAACATTTTTTTCTCTGTCATATTGAAATGGGGCACTAACAAGCTTCATGGAAGTTTGTAAGTGGGACCTGTCTACTGGTGGGCTTCAGTGTAGGGTGCCTTCTTCGACCATTTTGTTGAAGGGAGGGTCTCTCTGCTTGTCAAGGTCTTTAGGTCTTTGGGGCTTTTAGGAAATTTTGATCTCCTACATGGAGGGCATAAAACTGGCTGCCGCATTCTGGAATCCAGAATGAGAAAAAGGGGCTGAGAGGTGTCACTGTTCAATATGCGGGCTTCTCTGTGTAGGGGAGGAAAAATGATTTTTCCCTTCACCTTTCTGGGTTCTTGGCTGAGACTCCTATAATAAAAAACAGATTAACAGGAGAAAAACAAACAAGTTTAATAACATGTATACCTCCTACTGCAGTAACTTCCTGAAATGGCCCAAGCCATCACCTTAAATACCATCTCCAGCTAAAGAAAAAAGATGGAGGAGGGTATCAGGGAGAGAGTCTGTTATGGGAGGTGACCAGGAAAAGCACTGTAAACAAGGGTAACGTTATTTTGCAGTTTTAATTCTATGTCTTCTCCACTGATAAGAGTTCCTAGGGATTAGGTCATTCTCCTCTTCCTGATAAAAGGAGGGGCATAGTTACAAAGGAGATTTCCCATTACAAATGTAAAAGTCCCTTACAAAAGAGTAACTTCTGCTCATTTTACAGGGTGTCTGCTGTTTCTTAAAAATAATCAGCCTAAAATAATCCTATGCCAAAGAGGCATTTTTGGGGGTGACATATTCTTGTCCTCTTCACTTGAATCTCTCCTTGTTTTCCAGATGGTACAGCTCTCTTCAGCTGCACCTGCTGTTCCTCACCCTCCTCAGAGATTGAACTTGTGGTAGGATGGGGCAGGCATAGGCTCTATGTTTTGGGGAGAGGATCTAACAGTTTGGTAAATGGGCTTCCCACCTCTTTTCCTCTCTTAAGCCCCACTCTCAGGTCTATATCCAGAAGTGTTTCTTGTTCCTGTTTTGGAGCTAGTGCAAATCCATTTGTTTCTGGGCTTCCCCTAGTGATGCTTTAGGGGTCAGCTTTCCCAGATTAAATCAGTTTTCTCAGGACTATTTAGCTTCCAAACTTTGTTAGTTTTGCCTTTTCTCCCCTCTAGGGTTAATACCTTCTTTTGAATCCCTTGCAGTGGTTTTTCGGGAAGCCCAGGGGAGCTAACGGTGTTCAGTCTGCCAGCTCTGTGAAAGGCAGTGATGGTGCCTTCCACTCAACCCACTGCATTTCCACTTTTTCCTCACCCAGTTCCCAAGTTTCTGAATTTTCTTTCTGACAACTCTACCAAAACTGTCTTGTCTGTCTTTTCATTTTGTTGCCTATTTCACTGGTATTACATTTAAGCAAGGATCTAAGTCTTGTTTGGGTTGAGCACCAAGGGTGGGATTTCAGATGTTACTTAATGATTACTGGAAGGATTTTAGGGGGTTATTGAGAAATCTGGCCCTTTTCATTGTGCACCAAATTAAATGAGGCAGTTGCCTCCTGTATCTGGATTGTAGCTAGCTTTGTTAGAAGTTCTAAAAAGTAGAGAAGCAGTTGACTAGAGTATATAAAACTAAAAAAAATTCATCTCTCCTCCCACTCCTGCCACCTTTGGATTCTTATTAGCTTGTGCGTATCTTAATGTCCTCACCTGTGAATATGATGATAGTATTCTACCTTCTTCTCTATTTCCTAAGTGCAACGACTCCTATCAACTTCTTAAAATGCTTCAAAAGAGTTGCCATATAAGCAGCAATCTCCATATTTATATTTTGACTGATTCTTGCTGGAACTTGAATTACAGTAAAACCAGCAGGATTTGTTCTTTTGAATCACAGGAAATCGTCAGCAAAAAGCTCAGAGTTCCATGAGCTTAGTGAAGGAGGTGATGAGAAGAAAAAGCGAGATTCTCGGAGAAGTGGCTTTCTCAACTTAATCAAATCCCGGTCCAAATCTGAGCGACCACCAACAGTCTTAATGACAGAAGAACCCTCCTCACCAAAAGGGGTGGTCAGAAGTCCAGCCATGGACACACCCAGGAAGGACACGAAGCTAGATGAGCACAATGGCAATTCTGAATGGAGTGAAGAGATAAAAACACCTGACTCCCATGAAGAAAGTCAAGAGGAGGACATGGGGAAGGCGGAGCGCAGTGACAGCAAGGGCAGCCCACAAGGAGGCCGGAGATATGGGGTCCAGGTGATGGGCAGTGATCTGCTGGCTGAGATGAAGGCCAAGCAGGAGCAGAGAGCAGCTTGTGCACAGAAGGTAAGGGAGAGGCCATTTTGATTTGTTTGGGGTTTTGCCCCAGTGAGTGAGAGGTACCAAAAAAAAGCCCGTTAGTTAAATAAAAATCCAAAAACCAAAGACTTTTTCCTAATGAACACAGATCACAAAGACATGACCATGTTTTCCCTTTGGCACTATGGCCATGCTCTTCCCAAGAGCCACAGTGTTCGAGGTAAGTTGTTGGCTATACCTGCCCAGGTGCTTCCTTCCAGTAATCATTAGGTAACATTAGCCACAAAAGCATGTGATAGCTGTTCAGGGAAATGCTCAGATCTGGGAAAAGACTGAGTCTGTTGAATCCCAACAAAGACCTGAGCGTGACTGGAGATAGGAGAACTGACAGAGGCAAATAAAAATACTGAAACCAGATTCTATTATAGAAAGGTAGATCTATTTTTTACTTATTTAATAATTTATTCTTTTTTTCAAACCTTAAGCTTCCTTGCTGTATTCCAGATTTAAAAGTCAAGAGAAACCGCCCCTCCCCCCGCAAAAAAAGAAAAACTAAGGTCTTCTGTTAGAATTAATTAATTGAATACTTGACCATTGTGATATGTCATTACCTGTTGCTATAAAAAACTTCATAGTTTAAAAATTACAGAGTCCCCTACCACCACCGAAACTGACTTAATACATTACTTATTCTTTGAACCCTTTTAAAAATAGAAGTTGTAGGATTTTTTTCCTCCTGCAGCTAATAAAGGTTGGCACCTTCATTGTGGCCACTAAGACCCATACACCATGGTCGTGGCTTCTATGCACTCCCCGGCCTCTTTTATGTCTATAAAGCAGGGTTCTCAAAAAAAGGGAAAATTGCATATCTATTTTATTTGAAGTATCGGAATAAAACAGTTCACCTCGATGAACCCTTGGTTTTCAGAAAGTAAATGATAAACTAAATACCAGGGTGGGGAGTGCTGTTTATATTGTAAACAGCTGACCATTTTTTCATTAGATCCTGCCTCCCGTATGATTTTACAACTGCTCTCCATAGTTCTTCCACTGGCACTTTTGTTATCTAGCAATTTCCTGGTTACAGATAACTCCTACCTCACTCATTAACCTTAGGGAAGAGCTGGGGTGGAAGAGGGGCGCATAGAACTCTACTCTGCTGATTCAACATGGGAGGCATGAGGCAGCCTTCACTGGCCAGAATTCTGAATAAATACTGTGACCACATCATTGGTGAGTCAGATGCCCAAAGAAGTGTTTAAATTTCAGTCTGTTTTATAGAATTTATAACAGTAAACGTGCTGTTTTCACTAATAAGCTGTTTTGTTTTATCACTGTTTTCATTGATGAACAGCTGCCTTTTGGTGGAAAGATGAGAAGTGCTATAGGGCTTTTTCCATGCACTTTGGATCTGATATATAAATTGGTTCAAAGTGACAAAACTCCTATGGTGTAATATTTTTATTTGTTCCAGGTTTATACCAACAATCTCTTAGCACCATCTAGTGTCTATTTAAAACAACCAAAGTTTTTAAATTTTGAACCAGTCAGGAATATTCATCCTTTCTGAATAATAAAATAATAAGAGAAAGTTTTTCAAAAATTAATATTATAATATTTTCCCTTAAAACTCCATGACTGTATTCTTTATAAAGTTAGCAACATAAACATCAGTGGTGAATATACTATTGATAAAAAAAAAAATGTCATCTTTACTCTCGAGCAATTCTCTTTACACTATTTATTTTTAATATGTGTATTTAAAGGGAAAGAACTGTGAAATGAGCTATGGTATCTGTTACTTATTAATAAAGGGGAATAACAGGTATTGAATGCTTTAGAAGCCCCATCTTTTCTTGTGGGGCCACCTCGTCAGCTGCCTGCACTCAAAGACAGCTGGCTGAGTCCTAGCTTTACCCTGACAGTTCCTGTCCTAGGAGAGTGGCATCTAACTTTCCCCATCTCTTAGTAACAAGCTCCTTCCACCTGAAGTTTGTCGGATTTGTTTTTTTAATTAATTCCAGCCTTTTCACCTGCATTTGTCTCTTAAAAGATCTGTGTCCTTTGGTTCTGCCTCAGTGCAAGGAAGGTCCCACCCATTTTAAGACTCCTTTCACTTATTTTGTACATCAAAGTTGAAAAAGTTTCTACTGCTTTTTAAACTTGATTTTTGGAACCCAATTGGAAAGAGTCCTGTAAATTTATAGAGTGTCAGTAGCTCCATCCCAGGGAACATCACAGAGAGCAGAGCCCACACAGGAGCTCAGCAAAAACAACAACAGGCATCACCAGCCCACTGTTTCCGTGGACCCACACGACTCTCACCTGTCGGGAGCATCCAAGGAACCAGCCATACTTTGGGCCCTGGAGCCCTGACTGTAAACACAGAACAGAACGTGTTCCTCTGAGCTTTGTCCTGAGGACTTCAGGGACCATCACTGTAACAGCATTAGAGTTAAGAAGACATTCTTTGTTGTCATTTATTGTCTGCGTTGTTCTTTTTCTTACACTTAAATACGTACTTTGTTGGGGGCGGGTGCTTGAATTTTTTAGAAGCTTGGGAATGATGCCATCTCCCAGGAGTCTTCCAGCCTGGCCACGAGCAACACAGAACGGCTGGAGGGAGGTGGGGCAGGTAAGTCAGGCCATTGCCATCACCCCCTTAGGAAAAACACTCTCTGGTTCCAGGAGTTTCATGTGATTGGCAGAAGAAAAATAAAGACAGGGAGGCGAGAACAGGTCTCTGTGCTGTATTTTCTCAGCTTTCACCTAAAAGGAAACCACCTTCTTTTCCTGCTCCAGCTCCACTTTGGGGCTCATCTCCCACCACCAGTGTAGCCTTGTGCCTGGACAGGGTACCTTTTCTAATTCTCAAAGGGAAGAAATTTCATTGAGAAGAACTCCCAAACTTAGGGGACTTGGGGAGGGGGGAGATTTTGGGGACATAGCTGATGCTTTTAAAAATAAGCCGTACATGGTATATGGAAGGTTGCTCTTTCGTTTGATAAGAGGTGATGTTCTTCCCTTTCAGCTTGGATATCCATAAATATAGAGTATCGTTTGTCCCTCTGACTCTTCAGGTGCAGTAAAAGAATAAGGCGCCTTAGATGGACACTGAAGAGTGACTTGAAAGTTGCATGTTAGAAACCCCGTTGTGCTGTTTGAAGTTTTCTTGCTTTAGTATCTTCATGCAGGAGCTGGAATATTAATTATATTTAACTGGTTTATTTTTGCCGGTTGTCTGGTTAAATTAAGGCAGCAAAAGGGATGGAGGCAGGGCATGAGATGACATTTCTGAGCTAGTGAGGTTATGGCCCCTGGCAGAGCCCTCCTCATTCAGGGCCTACAGCCAGACCCCTCACTGATTGCTGTCCAGAACTGAGGCGCCTGCAGTGGGATATACCTGCACCTTGTGCCAGGTTCAGGAAGATGTGCTGCTTTAAGTGCGTAAAGAACTACTATCCTCTCTGCACGGGCACGTGGACCTGCACACTATTCATTGTGAGGCTTGTCATCTGTGTGGTAGTCAGAGGTGATCAGAAGACCACCATTAAGTCCATTTTCTAAGGATTTTAGTCCTCCACCAGCATGCTTCTGTTCTAAACATTCTGTGATGAGAAATGACAATAAATGATTACAGCAGTTTGTGCCAGGCTCCTCCTAGGTTCACATGATTGGTTTCTTTCACCTTTGATTTTTAAGATAAAGTGTGCTTTTTGTACCCATTTTCACTTCAGTGCCTAAACTGCACCCAGGTCTTCCGGAGACCCGCTTCAGTTTGGGGACCCCAGAAAAGAATGTCAAAACAGACCCCAAGGTGGACATGGGCTCCCGATCTCGGAGCTCCTCCAGCACACCCACCAGCCCAAAGCCCCTCCTGCAGTCCCCCAAGCCCAGCCCGGCAGCACGGCCCACCGTCCCGCAGAAACCAAGGACCGCCTCACGGCCTGGTAAGGGTTTTACTAGTCAAGGAGTGACGCCAAGACCATGTGGCTTCCCAAGGTGGCTGTGTTGAGACTCCACAGATGGTTTCAAGGGCACCAGTGAACATGCTCAGGGGGTCTGCTGAGGGTGTCCTGAGAAACCTGCTAGGGGCTGTGGAATTGACAAAAGCTGAAGGGTTCTTCTATTCAGCACTGAGGCCACCAACTCAGAAACTGTCCTTGCATTCAGGACTGCAAGCCACAGGGTGAGAATGGAAAAGCAGCCTTGTGTTGTTCTGACCCATTTGTAGTTTTTGAGGTAGCTTTTAGAAAACCTCTCCAGGGCGAACAGACCCTTCAGAAGACAACCACGTAAGGATGAGGGCCACAACCAGGGAAGGCACAAGTTCCTCTGTTTTTACCTCATATTCTGTGAATTGCTTAGAGTTTAGGACAGGACTTGGCAAACTGTGGGCCTGTTTTGCAAATACAGTTATCTCAAAGCCACTCTGTGTGTGCACATTGTCTGCTTGCTTTGCACTCGAGGGGCAGAATTGAGTAGTTGCAAAAGAGTGCATTTGACCTGCAAAGCCTAAAATATTTACTGCTTGGCTCTTTACAGAAAAGGTTAGCTGACTCTAGGTTTAACAAATCTAATGACAGGGGAAATTTAAAAATATTAGAAAAGGTTTTGCTCTGCCTTATTCTCTCTTACAACTGCCTCTTTTTCCTGTCAGGTCATTTTTTTTTTTTCTCTTTAACTTTCTATTATAATAATTTTTAAATATATACAAAGTAGAATGATAATACAATGAATGAATCCCATATCACCTCTTCACTTTATTCCCCCACAAAAATTAGGCAAATAAGGATAGAGATATACAGTCAGATTATGCTCATTGTTATCAGCATCGTTGCTAATATAGTGCTAATCTTAACACTTAACTCTCCACCAGGCACTGTTCTAAGTGCTTAGTGTGGATAAACTAACGTCCTCACCCACAGCTCCATTTCACAGATGCGGCTTGTGAGGCACAGAGATGCTCAGCCTGCCAAGTCACAC